TCTGGCATCAGGCGGTCAAGGCCGAGGTTGCCCAACAGAATGATAAGGTCTCGGGGGGGTTTATTCGGGATGCCACCAAATACTATGAATCCTTCGACCTCTCCCTCCTCCGACAAAGGGCCCTGGAGTATGGCATAAATAGCACGATTGTGAAAACGACGTATAACTACTGGCGGGGCCCTCGGCTGTTGCGCATCGGGGCCCAGCATGGCCTCGTTCCTCTTTTTGGCTCGTCAGGATTGCCAGCTGGTGACATTTTCAATGACATATTCGCGCGTGTGTACAGTATAGGTGCCTTCGACCGCTTTATCGTTGAGCATCCTGAAGTCTGGCTTTCGTCTTACGTGGACGACAACAGCGTGACGAGTGACGGCACTGAGCAGCAGGTGCTATCACGGGTTTCAAAGGCTGCTGCGGCCCTGCTGATCATTTTTCGTGAAGAGCTTAAGGTGGACGTCCACCCTGACAAGATTTGCACGTTCGCGAGGAATCAAGGTTTGGCCAACAAACTTGCTCGACTGTTGGGAAGGATGGCGGGCCAAGTCAGCACGGGAATCGTTTCGTTAGGATCGGACCTTGCCCCAGGTAGGCGTAGAGGTGCGAGGGGAGCCACGTGGAAGCGCAAGCAACGCTTCCAAGACATGCGTAGACGCCACCGTGTGCTCCAGCGTTACACGAGAGCCCTCCCCCGCCAGCGAGGAAGGATGGGACAAATTTACACTGCTGGTGTTTTGCCAGCGGCCACGTTTGGATCGGCGATTGTGGGGGTTAGCAACGGAGAGCTTAGGGAAGGCCAACGTGTGCTTCTTAGTTACAAACCCCCTCGTCACAAGGGATGCTCTCTGAGGGCGAAGCTGGCCATCCTTGGAGACCCCATGTGGAGACCTGCTGTTGCCCCTGTGCTCCAGTGGGCTGCTGTTGTTTGGACGGCCATCACTAGTCCTGAGTCTTCCTTTCACACTGTGGAAGACCTGTGCGGTTTCTGGCGAGATGTCCCTTTCGATGACAGCACCACGTGGAATAACTCTCGTGGTCCCCTTCAGAGGATGCACCTTAGCCTGCGCAGGATTGGATGGACTTCCACCCCGGCTCTGACGTTTCGAGATGATTATAATCGTGAGATTTCTTTGGCCTACACCTCTCCCTCCATGCATTCGTTTTTGTTGGACTTGGCTACTCAGAGATCCCACGAGAGAGCGTTAGCTGAGAGCACTGAGGGGTTCCAAGGGACCCGAGTCTGTGTTGAACCCTTGAAAAAGCTTTTGGGACCCAGGGGGAAAGGACTCTCTCAACGAGAAAAATATCTGGCCCTCACGGTTTTCTGCCAAGGAGTTTGGACGCGAGCAAGGGCTCGCGCATGTGGTTATAGCACTGCAGGAGACTGCCCTCTTTGCGGCCTTCCCGATAGTGTTCGGCATCGAGCATGGAGATGTCTCCACCCCGATGCTGCCAAGGCACGAGCTGAAGCGCTAGGCGACGAGCTTCCCGCCTGGTATGCTGAGGCTTTGGGCGGCGAAGATAGGAAGTTTTTCGATGAAATGAAATGGGGGCACCCCGAAAGTACCTGCCCCCCCCCCTCGACGAACCCGAACCCCACCCTCTTCGACGGGGAAGGAAAGGAGGTTCCTTGGGATTCGATTGACCTTCGGGGGCCCGATGTCTGTGTTGATGGTTCGGCGTTTCGACACCCGATTCGTGAACTTTCGAGGGCCGCCTATTCGTGGGTCTTCCTGGGGCCCGAGAATGATAAGAGAGTTGCCACTGCCCAAGGTACTGTTCTTGACACCCTCCCCCAGACCTCCCAAGCTGCTGAACAGCAGGCGATGGCCCTCCCCCCCATGTTCCAGGACTACGGGGGGGACAGGTACGGGGATAGCATGACGGTAATCAAGATGTGCACGTCGCCCGCGGTCAACCAGTGCTCGAGGAAGCACCGTTATGCTGGCCTAAGACGTGGATCTCTTTTGCACGAGCGAGCTGGACATCAGCCGCAGTTTCATCACACTCCAGCACATCGTGCGCTGGCCAAGATAGACGAGCTACCCGCGGGAGAGAAGAGAATCGCGCTGGGAAACTGGTATGCAGATGCCCAGGCCAAGAGAGCTCTCCTCGACCACCCCCAACCCTCCTCCGCTGACAAAAAAAAGAGGTTGAGTGCAGGCTTAGTCAGTTAAAGACAATTGCCCGAGTCATGGGTAAAGTCTTATCAGTTTTTCCTGTAGAGAAGTTTGACCGTGTTACGAGTTCAGGTCCGAGGGCCAAGTTTTTGAAATCTGGAGGTTGGCACGCGTGGCAAGAGTTAGGTAATGATCGCGCGCGATGCCTCAGATGTTTAATCCTCGCTAGAGACCAGGACTCCAGACCCATGATAGGCTGTAAAGGCATGAGTAGGACCTTGAAGCGAACACTCGACATGTCTCTCGGCCACACCCTCGCACACTGTACGGTTGTTCGAGGAACGGAGCAGAAGGTTTTGTTGTTTCTGTACTGTCTGCGGGGCATACTCAACCCGCAGATGCAGACTCTTAGGCCGAGAGTGCCAGCAACGAAAGCTTGCGGGAGGTGCCACGAGTCTACGACGCATCTACGACGGTCTTTTCCCTCAAGCCAATGTGCAGGCTGAGGTTTCGACAACTTCTCGGAGAGGAGTTGCCAATCTGTGTTACGCTGCCGCGTTACCACCGCCCGAGGAGGTCACGCTGCACCAGCCTGCGATGACAGGCCTCATCCAGACGGACGGGATGCGTGCGATCAGCCAGCGTGCGCTGGCCAGAGAGGAAGCTGCTCGAGCAGCTGCCTCTTCAAGCACGTAGGTTTAAACAAACATGGTTCGGCCCCTTGGGGACAAAAAAATGATTCCGATTAGACTTCGCAATCCATGGAGGGCTGCGAACTGCGAAGCCGTCGCCACTTCCGGGGGCTGCTTGGGGGGGGCAGCATAGTGGGTACTCGTCGCATATCAAGACTAGACCTCGCCATCCGTGGGTTGCTTCGGTCTTTTGAATACGGCGCCATTTTCGAGGGATGTTGGGGTGCCAGCATAGTGGGCACTCGCCAGGGATCCAGATTAGACCTCGCATTCCTTAGGGGTTGCCATCTTTGAATTTGTCGCCAATTTTGACGATTGCTGGGGGTGTCAGCGTAGTGGGCACTCGCCGCAGATTCAGATTAGACCTCGCCGTCCCTGGGGGGGCTGCGATCTGCGAAGCTGTCGCCACATAGTGGGCACTCGCTGCAGATGATCTGCGAAACCGTCGCCACCTTCGAGGGCTGCTCGGGGGGGGGCAGTTCAGTGCGGTTCTACGCGGAGGATCAGACCGGGACCTCGCCATCTCTGGGTGCTGCGAACTGCGAAAGTGTCGCCACTTTCAAAGGCTGTCAGGTGGGGCAGCTTAGCGCGGTGCTACGCAGGTCAGATTGGGACCTCGCCATCTCTGGGGGGGGCTGCGATCTGCGAACTTGCCGCCACTTTCGACGGCTATTTGGGGGGATTTGGGGGGTGTTAGCCAGGTGCGGTGCTACACAGATCAGAGCGGGACCTCGCCACCGTTGGGTGTTGCGAACTGCGACACTGTCGCCGCTCTCGGAAGCTGCGGGCCGCCCGGAGACCCAGCGGCGCGCCTGCGAGCGGCCAGCTCCCACACGGGAGGGTGCAGGAAGGAGGCCGGGAAGTTGGCGGGCCAGCTGGATCCCGCTCGCTTTTTGCACGAGCTAGAAGCATCTATTCGTTTGAAGCGCCACGGCGGCATGGCGCAGGCAGCGCTGCATGTCCAGCGCGACGTTGGAAGAACAAATGCAACCATTCTTTCTCATCCCGCCCCTGTCGATGTCGTCGCCTTCCCCCTGCCACCTTCTCCCTGCTGCTGCTGCTGCTGCCGCCGCGCTAGCTTTTGTTGTCCCCCTCCCCTCCAGTTCTTTTCCTGTTGTTCGTTCCCGCCTCCGTTCTTCTTCGAGCCTAGGGCATCATTCCTTGTCCGTCTATCGTTGTCCTGTGAGTCGTGCTACGCGCACGTATCCCAGATAGCTTGTACAATACATGACGGCGGCTGCACGGTCGTTGCCCGTGCATGGTTGGACCAATTTCTCGTGTCTCTTGGCGTTTATGGGTTGGGTACGTCGCAGGGCAACTAGGACGAATCTGCGCGGCGATGAGGCAAGAACCGCGTTTTGAAAACGGCCCGCCGTCCATCCGTGAAGCTCTTACACATGATGAGGACGGGTGCGCGCGGCGCTAACGTGAGAGCTACACATTGACAGCGACGTGTTTGGAATTCGCGAAAGTGTTGCGAATGTTAAAAACGGGTGCGCGTGGCGTGAAGGCGAAAGCCAGATGCTGAAAACGGTTTGTGTGTAATACGTAGACTTGTTGCATTTGTTTGGGATTGATGCTCGCGGCGCTAAAACGAGAGCCACATTGTGAAATCGACCCGCGTTCCATCCGTGATTTGGTTGCAAAACTTAAGCTTCAGGACCATAAGTCGTAGGGAGGACGTCTTAGGCGAAAGCCGGCCCGCCCTTCCGATTGACCTCGGGGTGCGACACGGATAATTTATTCACAAAGAAAAGGAATGGAGGGAGGGAGGAGGGAGGAGGAGGAGGAGAAGGAGGGGAAGAGGAGGAAGAGGAGGGAAAGGAGGAGGAGGAGGAGGAGGAGGCGGAGGAGGAAGAAGGCGAGGAGGAGGGAGGTAGGGAGGGATGAACAAGAGGGATCGCAGGATGAGAAGAAGGGGAGGATGAGGAGGAGGAGGAGGACGAGGGAGGAGGGAGGGAGGAAGGGAGGGTGGGAGGAGCAGGAGGAGCAGCAGGAGGAGGAGAAGAGGCGAGGATGAGGGAGGGAGGGGAGGGGAGGGAGGGAGGGAGGAAGGGAGGAGCGGCAGAAGGAGGAAGAGGAGGGCGAGGAGGAGGGAGGAGGGAGGGAGGGAGGGAGGGAGGGAGTAGCAGGAGGAGGGGCAGGAGGAGGGCGGAGAGCGAGGAGGAGGGAGCCGCGGAACTGTGCCGAGGCGGTCGCGCTCTTCGAGGAGTTCCGGGGCCTGCAGCCGCCGCCGCCGCCCAGCGTGACGCCCCGCAGATGGCCGCGTCGGCCGCAGATCGCTCGCTGAAGAGCTCGACGACGACGACCTCGACCTCGACGACGACGACGACGACCCCGACCTCGACTTCGACCTCGACCTCGACTCGACCTCGACCCCGACGATGACGACGACGACGACGATGACGACGACGGCGACGACGGCGACGACGACGACGACAACGACTAGGCGTCGACCTCGCTCGTTCTGCTCGCCCCTCCAGACCGAAGGGGATCAAGGGTGGAAGGAGGGGTGAGGAGAAGGAAGAGAGGGAGGGAGGAGGGGGAGGAAGACAGGAGGATATAGAAATCGAGGATGGAAGAGGAGGAGGAAGAGGAGGAGGAATAATGGATCGAGGATCGAGAAACGAAGAGGAGGAGGAGGTGGCTGAGGAGGAGGATCGAGGATCGTGACGTTCCTGGCGCCCTGGGGCCTCTAGAAACCTCAGCGGACCTCCAGGGACCTCCAGACTTCAAAGACTTCCAGCGAGGGACAAGGCGAGCCCACACCTCCAACTAACCTCTGTAACAGATCGAGACGAAGGCCTTCACGTCTTCGGCCTCGACATGAAATCGTCCAGCAGCGGCCCGGGCTGAAAAGCTGGCCCCCGGGACGAGGTCAGGAGCTCCCGTCGGGCGGGGCTACGACCATCTTCACTCGTTTCGGGGCGTCCCAGAGCGCTCTGGAACGGCCACGGCGCTCTGGGGTTCACTTCGCTCGGGGCCTCCCGAGCGAAGTTCATCCCACCTTCCCCTCAGAAGGCGAGGCAGAGCTCGCATGTGGCCTCCCACTTGCTTCGAGGGCTCCCCGGGGACGGGGAGCCGAGGAAGCCGCAGGCCGGGAAGAGGGAAAAAGCAACAACAACAATAATAACAACAACAACAACAACAACAACAACAACAACAACAACAACAACAACAGCCAACAACAACAACAACAACAACAACAACAACAACAACAACAACGCGCGCACACGGGAGAGGCATTAGCCTCGGACGCCCGCGCGCGGCAGGCCTCAAGCCGGCGACCGCGAGCCCCGGTGTTGTTTGTTGTGTCGGGGGCAGCCGAAGACGTCCGAGCTGCACTTCTGCCTGCACAGCCAGCCCGCAGAATGATCGGGCCGGACGAAAGGGGGGGATTGGGAAAGGGGGGGTTACGAAATTTGCTGCATGCAGCTGGTTTCGGCCTCACCGAGGGGCCCATTCCTCGATACATAGCTCCATCTGGCGCCGGGAGGCGCCGGGAAAATCAGCTACGTGAGCTGATTCTCAAACCCCCCCCTTTGCTATCCCCCCCTTTCGCCCGACCCGAAATGAGGATCTTGGCATCGCTCGGACGTGTGCACTTTTCCTCGGCGGGGGTTCTGAAGGAGCATCTTGGATCATCCGGCGAAAAAAAAAACGCGCACGAAACCGAAGAACACACAGGGAATGGACGTCCGAGCGATGGCCAGGGATGGGCAACCTTCCCACGGTGAGCGTTTTTTTATTCCATCTTTTGTGCCGATCGGCGCTGGTCCTTGCCCCCCCCCCCGCCCCCCCCATGGAGTAGATCTTGGCTGTTTTTGTGCCGGTCGGAGCGGGCCATCATGATGGACGCACTGTCGCAAACAGTCGCACTGAGCAGAGGGTCGGAGCCAACCCCCCCCCCCCTTCCCCCTCCCCCTTTCCCGCTCAATGTCGAAACACCGAATAAAACAAGTTGACATAAGGATGGGCAGCCTTCCCAAGGGTACCCCTTGCATCCCTGCCTCCTCGTTCAATCCTGGGCCACTTTCGTTGGCTGCTCCCCGCTCGAGAAGCTTCGGAATGGGCGCCCCAGGCCCTTGCATCCTTACTTATCGCGCATCCTTCTGATACGGGCCGACTGTACACGTCTGTATGTGCATTCGGGAGGAGGAGGATTCTGCTGGATTCTGCTGGTCGAACGAACACGATGCCCCATGGAATCGCGCCGCGGGTCGTCCTGGCCGCATCGGGCCGCCCCCGAGCCGAGCCAGAACGCCGTGCCTTCTGAGGGCTTGCCTCAAAGGGGCTTCTCTCACAAAATCTTCCGCGAGCTGATCTCGGCACTGTAGCCTAGACTGGCTCGTCGGATCCCCGCTGAATCAGAGCCTGCTGCCACTGCCTTCGTTCTCGCACGACCCGATCCCCGCACTGTAGCTGGGATCCTTCCTGGCCCCACGATTCCCGAAGTGTTCTCGCATGAGTTGGTCTCAACCCTTCGGCGTAGAAGACATCACGAAATTAGGCTCCAGTTTCGCCCCCCGCTGGTCGCAAGAGGCTGGCTTGGGTGCTCTCGACGATATTGGGCTCCAACTTCGCCCCCCGTTTTTCGCAAGAGGCTTCCGACTGGCTCCCGATGAAATGCAACCTTGCCTCGCACGATTGCTCCCCAGCCTTCCGCACACGAGCTGATCACAGCACTGTAGTTGGTGATGTACGCCCCTGTACTTTCGTGCACGACTGTTCCAAGCGGAGTTAGTTAGATGCCGTCGGGCTCTGTCATCGCCTCCCACTTCTCGCAGCCGTTTTCTCGCAGCGCCAGGGTGTGGGGGGTGCATTCCCCGCATCCACGGCCATCGCGCGCCCCTCTTCTCGCACGGACTTCTTCCAGCGTCGTAGCTGATCGTGGCCCACCCGCGCGTTTCGCTCAGTGCCAGCGTCCGCTGCAACTGCGCTCGCCTTTCTCGCGCGGACTGCTCCCAGCGTTGTAGCTGATCGTGGCCCGCCCGCGCGTTTCGCTCAGCACCAGCGTCCGCTGCCACTGCGGTCGCTCTCTCTCGCACGGACTGCTCCCAGCGTTGTAGCTGATCGTGGCCAGCCCGCACGTTTCGCTCAGCACCAGCGTCCGCTGCCACTGCGCTCGCCCTGTCTCGCACGGACTGCTCCCAACGTTGTAGTTGATCGCCCACCCGCACGTTTTGCTCAGTGCCAGCATCCGCTGCCACTGCGCTCGCCCTTATTCGCACGGACTGTTCCCAGCGTTGTAGTTGATCGTTGCATGCCCGCCCGTATCTCTCAGCGCCAGCATCTGCTGCCACTGCCCGCTCCTTTTCTCGCACGGACTGCTCCCATCGTTGTAGCTGATCACCCGCGCGCACGTTTTGTTCAGGGCCAGCGTCCGCTGCCACTGCTCGCTTCCTTTCTCGCACGGTTTGCTCCCAGCATTGTAGCTGATCGTGGACCTCCCGCACGTTTCTCTCAGCCTGCCTCCAGCATCTCGCGTTCCAGCCAGAGCCTGCTGCCACTGCTCGCCCTTCTCGCACGCGCTGGCTTCAACGCTGTAGCTAAGGACGTCAGGCTCTAGCTTCGTCTACGCGTCTCGGAGTCTAGCCAACGCCTGCTGCCAGTGCTCGTTGTTCTCGCACGTTCTTTCGGCGTTGTAGCTGAACACGCCGGGCTGTTTCTCTACTCTCGCCCGCTCTCGGAACCAGGCCAGAGTCTGCTGCCACTGTTCGCTCTTCTCGCACACGCTGATTTCAGCTATGTAGCTGATGAAGGCGTCGGGCCCCTGCGCTTTGTTGCCGTGTGCTGTGCAGCGACACCGGTGCTCGCCAGGAGGAGAATGAGGAGGAGGAGGAGGAGGAAGAGGAGGAGGAGGAGGAGGAGGAAGGAGTAGGAGGGGGGGGCGCAGGAAAGGAGAGGACGAGAGGAGAGGAGGAAATTTTGGCCCCACTACATGAGCCTATTCACGGCTAGCTGCCGCTTCATGATGACCCATGGTTCTTGATGGCTCCCCGAGGCAACGCCACTCAGAAGCTCGCATCGGGAACGCCCAGGCCAGCCCACGCAGGGAGGGGCCGCTCGGGCGCGGAACAGCTGGGAGGAGGAGGAGGAGGAGGAGGAGGAGGGAGGAGGAGGAGGACGAGGACGAGGAGGAGGAGGAGGAGGAGGAGGAGGACGGGGGAGGAGGAGGAGGAGGAGGAGGAGGAGAGGAGGAGGAGGAGGAGGAGGAGGAGGAGAGGAGGAGGAGGAGGAGGAGGAGGGAGCGGCAACGTAGGATCTAAAAGCGAGGAGGGGGAGGAGGAGGAGGAGGAGAGGAGGAGGAGGAGGAGGAGGAGGAGGAGGAAGAAGAAACAGAAAAAGAGGAGGAGGAAGAGGAGGAAGAAGAAGAAGAGGGGGAGGAGAGGAGGAGGAGGAGGAGGAGGAGGGAGGAAAGGAGGAGGAGGAGGGGGGAGGAGGAGGAGGAGAGGAGGAGGAGGGAGGAGGGGAGGACAGAGGAGAAGGAGGATGAGGAAGAGGAGGAGGAGCGAGGAAAAGGAGGAGGAGGAGGAGGAGGAGGAGGGGGAGGAGGAGGGCTGGCGTGCGCGTGCCCCTCCGCGAGCAACATGCTGCTGCTCTCTCTTTCTCTCTCTCTCTCTCTCTCTTGGGTCTCAGGGTCGGGTCTCTTGTGGAAGGTTTCTTGTGAAAGGGCCCTGCTGTTCGAAGCAAAAGCAGAGCGCCCCGCCCTTCTTCTTTTCGCGCCGCGAGGGGGTCTGGGTTCGGGAGGCCACACTCGACCCCCGGACGGGCCCAGGGGGGTGCGTCAGGGTCGGAGGTTTCGAGGAGGACCCGGCCGTGGCGACGAGAAGCCCCCCCCCCCCCCCTCCCGGAGGCAAACCAGAACGAGCAGCACCCAACACCTCACAGCATCGGGCTCGTTCCCTCGACCCCCAGCAAAACAAGGGGGCGGGCCGATCCTCCTCTCTGCCTCCCCCCCCGGCATCCGGCTTGTGGCGCGCTGCCGTGGGAGGGGAGGGGGAAAGGCTGGCGAAGCCACGTGGGGCGTTGCAAAAAGGGCCTCGCCTTCGAGGATAGGAGGAAGTGCCATCTCATCCTCGGCGGAGGGGCGGCGGAAGGTCGGCGGAAGTAAAACGAGGCCGCCTCCGCCAGCGGGAGGCCGGCGGAAGGCAGCGGAAGTAGAAGATGCGCACCCAAGAGATGAACATTTTTGTGGGTTCAGGGTTACCGAAATCCGCCACGTGAGCGACGGAAGGAAACGAGGTCATCTTCACCGACATTCGCGCGCAAGTTGCCCACGCAAGGCCGCGCGTGAGTGCCGTCGCTTCCGATGTGGCGTGCCGCGCTGGCGGCCCGCGTGAGCCAACGCATAAGGTCCCTATGCCATCTCGCGTAAGACCCGCTTCCTTTCGCCGCTTGTACGGAAGGGGAGTTTGCAAGCCTTCCTCGTACAGACCCTCTCCCCCCGACAGCGCCCACGAGCCAGGGAGGAGGGCGAGCGAGGGGAACGGCGAGGGAGGAAGGGAGGGAGGAGGAGGGCGAATGGGGAGAAGGCCATCTCGCGTAAGACCCAGTTTTCTTATGTCGCTCAGGTGATCTTGTGCAGCGCCTTGCTGGACGCCTGCGAGAAGGCGCGGCGCTGGCAGGACCCCGGCGCCCCGCCTGCCTTCGGACGGCGCGCGCGCGCGCCGAGCTCCGCCTGCGCGCGCCCGCGTGTGCACAGGCTCGCTGGCGCGCCGCCGCTGCTGCATGGCCTTCCTCCTCCTCCTCCTCCTCCTCCTCATCCTCCTCCTCGTCCTCGTCCTCGTCTTCCTCATCCCCCTCCTCCTCCTCCTCCCCCTCCTCCTCCTCCTCCTCGCCCTCCTCCTCTCCTCCTCCTTCTCCCCCACCTCCTCCTTCTCCTCCTCCTCCTCCTCCTCCTCCTCCTTCGCCTCTATATGTTTCCTCCACCTGATCCCCTCCTCCTCTTCCTCCTCCTCCCGTACTCCTCCTCCTCCTCCTCCTCCTCCTCCTCCTCCTCCTCCTCCTCTTCCTCCTCCTCCTCCTCCTCCTCCTCCTCCTGCATTCGGAGCCGTATACGTATGTCCACATGGTGTGGCTCAGCGCATACGCGAAATGCCTGCAGTGCTATGCGATGGTGCTGGCCCATCTTTTCAGCCACATTGCGGGGCTAGCGCATGCGAGAAGGCGCAGATGTCATCAGCAGATGGGAGAATAGCTGGGGCAAGCGTCGTCAGCTATGTTGCCTGCCCCCGCCACGCGTGGCTTTGTCCAAGGATGGCCCCTCGCGTAATTAATATGTCGAATATGTTGTCGAACCCTCTTCATATTCTCCTCCCCGTCCCCTTTTTTCTCCCCTGCGTCCTCCCCATCCCCCTTAACCTCGCACTCCGCACCCTCCCCCCCTTCTCCTCGCCATCCATCCTGCATCCTCCTCCTTCTCCTCCTCCTCATCCTCCTCCTCTTCCCTCTTCTCCTCCCCTTGCCGATTTGCCCTGCATACGTACGTGTCAACTGCAAGTATCATCCCTCCCTCCCTCCTCCTCCTCCTCCTCCTCCTCCTCCTCCTCCTCCTCCTCTTCCTCCTCCTCCTCCTCCTCCTCCTCCTCCTCCTCTTGCGGCCTCAGCGCCGAGTACGCTAGCTAGTTGCACGGTGAAATGCTCTTTTGAGAACCCCTCGGAGTTCTCAGTGGATCGACAGTGTCGGTCGCGACTGGATGTTGTGGATCGTGCCGTATCCACCTCTCTCTCTTCCTCCGCCTCCTCATCCTCCTCCTGCTCCTTCTCCCCTTCCTCTGCAATCAGGAAGTACCCATGCTGATTGCTGGAGGAGCTCCCGAGAATTTTGACAATGGCGGGAGCAGAATGCCTCCCGAACGTCTTGCCGCCACCGCCCGCTCGAGTGACTCGAGACTTGGCCATGCGCCGGTAGCGAGCGAGCGAGCCTCCTCCTTCTCCTCCTTCTCCTCCTCACCATCATCATCATCATCATCATCATCATCATCATCATCATCATCATCATCATCATCATCATCATCATCCGTCCCGTCCTCCCACTCATCCTTGGCAGGGCGGCGGCGCGAGCGCACGCCCCCTCTGCCCCAGGCTGCGCTGTCGTCGCTCTCGGAGGCGCTGCGGGGCAGCCTGAGGCCCCCCTCGCGGGGAGCGGCCGCGCGAAAAGAGGGGGAGGCGCCCTGGAGGCACGCGCGGGCAAGACGTCTCGACAAAAAAACAACAAGGGTAATATTGAGAATAAGCATAAGAGTAATACTATTCAAATTCTGGCGATCGCCCGGGTTATCCGTCTCGCCCCCCGCTCCCTTTCCCAGGATAGTCTAGCTTCGTCGGCTGTGCAGGTCCGGGGAGGGGGGCGCAGCGAGCTCGCAGGGAGCGCTGTGTTCAACGGCGCGTCGGTGTGCGCAGCAGCATGCCCGCATTTTGGACGCACGTTGGTGAAACGTTGGGGCTTGCAGGGGGAGGACGACGACAGCGCCGCCGACGACCACGACGACGACGATGGCGACGTCGACGACGACGCTGACGACGACGACGACGCTGACGACGACGACGATGACGACGATGCTGGCTGCAGGCGCTTGCGTGGGAGGGGCTCTGGAGGTACGCGCGGGCAGGGCGTCCTGCGCGGGCAGGAGGTCCAATACTCCCTCGCGTTTGTTTTGGTATTTGTTGTTAGAACAAATTTTTTATCTTAAAACTGCGGGAGGTGTTCTTTGCTACTCTCGGCCTCCAGGGGCCCTTCCGGGGCCTCGTGTTGAAATCTTCCTCCTCCTCCTCCTCTTCTCGTCCTCGTCCTCGTCCTCGTCGTCCTCGTCGTCCTCCTCCTCCTCCTCGTCCTCCTCCTCCTCCTCCCCTTCCACCCTTCCAACCCCAGACCTCCTCGGATCGCACAAAAATGACGACGGGAGGTGTTTCTCGATCTTCGGCCTCTGGGGGCCCTTCCGGGGCCTCGGGACTGGCAGAGAGAGGCTCAGGATGAAAGACCGGTCCTGGGGACGGGGTCCAGACCCCTAGGGGGCGACGATGTGATCAAAATCACGGCGGGAGGTGTGTTTTTCGCTACTCTCGGCCTCTGAGGGCCCTTCCCGGGCCTCGGGACCGTCAACAAGAGGACTCGGGCTGAAAAGCCGGTCCCCGGGCAGGGGCCCAGGCCTCTGGGGATCGACGCTGTGAACAAACCACGACGTCGGGGGTCTGGCGTGGGAGCTCGAGCTTCCAGGGCTTCCCACCTGCTCGTCGGTTCTCGACCGCTTGCTAGCCGCGGCGATGTGCACCGGCAGCTGCGCCTCCTGAGCGGCCGCCGGCGGTATGGCCCGAAGGCCTAGTGGCCCATCGGGGAGGGGCGACGGGCGACGGCGTCTGCGACGATTGCGGCGGCGGCAACAAGGGCGGCGGCCGCGGGGAGGATCGACGATGGAGGTGCGGGGGGCAGTCGCCGCGCCCCAGCACCAGGCAGCGCCAAGCTCAGGCTTCACCATTCGGAGAACAAACAATTGTTTGATTCGCGGGTAGAGAGCGCACCTCTTCCGGTCGAAGCTAAGCGGGCCGCACAAAGCTTGAATTAACCAGAAATGGGGGAGGAAAAGGGGACCATTCGGAGAACAGACGATGACATAAACATAACCACTCGGAGGTCCGCGCGGATGTCTCAGATCGGTGCTGTGGCCCCCTGCCGGCAACGTTTTCGGCGTCGCCCCCTGGCGCGCTCCGCGCCCAAGGGTGGGGGGTCCAGCGCCGATCCGAGAAATCTGCGCGGACTTCCGAGTCTTTCATGTTGATGTCATTGCTTGCGCCCCTGCATGCGAGCCTGGCAGCATCTCATGCCAGGTCCACGACTGGCCAGCGACTGTGTTCCCACCTCTGTGGCACGAGCCGTTTCACAGTATCGCCGAGCTAAGCAAGTACGGCGTGTGTGTGTGTGAATGTGTGTGTGTGTCTGTGTGTGTGGGTGGGGGGGGCGGATCGTCTGCTACACGTAGGAGTCACCGTTCGTTGGAGTGACCTTTGGTGTGGGCACACCGGGGCCCCCAGATGATCGAACGCGATGCGAAAGCAGCGCCTTGCGCTCTCGGGTTTGGCCCCCTCGCGCCCGCCAACAGCCGCGCACCAGAGGTCACTCTCACCCAGGGCCGCTCTTGCGTGTAGCCGCTCGCTTGCCCTCGTGTCGGACACCTGGTGTTGCCCCGCCGCCCCTGGAGACTGCCAGCGGGCGCAGCCAGGCTTGACGTGATCTTGTTCAGCACGGCCATCAGCGCCTGCGAGAAGGGCGGGCGCTGGCAGGCGTTTCGCCCTCTCCCGACCCGCTTCCTCCTCGTCCTTCTCCTCCTCCTCCTCCACCTCGTTTTCTGTTCCTCCCCTTTCACTTTTCCCACCCCTCCCGACTTGCATTGAGCAGCAGGTAACACATCAAGCAACGTGAGGAAACAGAGGGCCCAACCATGCTCCCCCCACCGCCACCACACACATAAACACACGCACACATACATACACACATGCATACGCACATTCACACACACACACACGCACACACACACACACACACACGCACGCACGCACACGCACACGCACACACACACACAACACACACACAACACACACAACACACACACACGCACACGCGCACAGTATACCCATGCATGCATGCATGTACGTACGCATCCATAGTGTGCGCTGACGCTATGTCCTTCGACCCCCTTTTTTGTTGTTGTCGGTGTCGGGCCACGGGTCGCGCGGGGTCGGGCCCGAGCCTTTTACGTGGCGGCGGCGGTTGGAGCCATGCAACAATCGATTGATTTTGGTGACGTTGGCCTCCTGGGCCCCCCTTCGTCCTCGCAAACGCGGCCTCGTCCTCCTTTGTACGCAGCCCCCTGCTCTGATTGCGCATAAGACTATGAGGTCCCTTTCCCCCCCCGCCTCCGCCTTGTCCGCTGCTCCCTGCACCCCGCCGCATCTTGGCCGTCGCTCCTCCCGACCTGTCCCTCCTCGCTCTTCCTCCCTTCCTCCCTCCTTCCCTCCCCTCCCCGACGTAGTTTTTTTTTCTTTGCCGCAGCGTGGGCCGACAGAGGTCAGTTCTGACGGTCCCGGGGTCCAGCGACGGCCCCCAGAGGCCGACAACTGCAAGACAAGTATTTCCGTCGTGGCTTCACGATTCGAAGGATTTGGGGTGGTCGAGGGGCGGTATGCTGGCTTGAAGAAACGAAGACGTACGTTCTGCATTACGCGGGCGTGGTGGACATGCGACACGTCACGGATGAAGACCTCGCCAGTCACGAAGACGAGCTGCGCAGCTATGAAGAATTGGACCCCGTAGTGGTTAACGCAGCGACGAGGCGGAAGACTCACGTCGGTTCCACGTGCATTGAGAAGGGGGACCGGCGAACGATCCCTGCGACGGAAGTTGGCAAGGAGAGGAGTCGGGACGCGATGGCCAGGGGCGACGCCGTGTTGGGCGAAAGTATGAGAAAGCGGAAACCGAAAACAGTCCGCAATGGAGGGTTATTGAAGTGGGACGCCGAAGCAGGGGAAAACGGCGCAAGCGGCAACCGCAGCGTCGAGAGCGCGAGAAGGAGGCGCCGTGGAAACAGCGAAGCGATCCGCTCGTGGCGACGGGGGGAGGGCAACGGCTTCCAGCGCGCGGATGCAAGATATGGGCTGGATGCACGGCATAGAGTCCCAGGCGGGAGCTCTACGAACGACGACAGCCTCAGCGTTGGGCGGGGATGCAATCCACAGTGCGTGTGACGTGGGTGTGAACAGCGCGAAGGGGCAGAACGCGAAAGATAATGGCGGCGCAGATTTGCATGCCCGCACGCATATACATTAGGTACATCTATACACATTTTATACAGATATGTACATTGTGTATATGTATATTTACAAACTTATCTATATTCATATAGGTATATACAAACAAATCCAAAATAGTGTTTGCGCGTGGGGGTTCTCGCTTGTCTGCTAAGGGCCTGGGCCTGGCTGCCGCCTCGACCAGCCTGGTGTCGACGTCGCCGCTTGTCGCCGCCGTCCGTCGCCGCTGCATATGGGCCTGGCTGCCGCCTCAGCCAGCTTGTTGCCGCCGTCGCCGCAGTCCGTCGCCGCTGCTTCCGCGCCTGGCCCCGCCTCGGCCGGCCCGCAGTCGGCGCCGCCGCCTGTCGCCGCCGTCCGTCGCCTGTGCTTGCGCCGCGCAGGTCGCAGATCATAGCTCGCGCGACGAACCTGCACCTTTTTGCTTTCTCAGCGTAGCTCACAGCACATGGACGCTGCTTTCTAAAAGAGGACAGACTCTACCATCCACCCACCCTTTGGGATGATCGCCCCCCTGGGATAGCACATCTCGCCCGCGAGCATGCTTCGTCGTTCGCTCTGCGCGCGAACTCATGCCGCCCAAGGGGGGCCCTCGCGTCGATCATTTATCGGCCCCCGCCCTGGCCGCTGTCAAATTATATTGCGCGGAATCAGTCGCCCACTGCAAAATCACATGTCTTCAGTGAATTCCTGCGACAGGTATGGCGCAGTCAACTCACGCGCGTCGTCGCGCGCGCGTCGGAATCTGCCCGGCACTTCAGGTCCCGCAAGGATGCCATGATCACGGTTTCCGCGGACCGACGACAATCGCAGGAAAATCAGCCCCAAAAAAAAACATTTTCAACATTCTAAAAGCGCGCGCCCTTGCGAATTCATGCGACCCCCAGGCGTCTCAACATGTTTCGCAAATGCGGCCGCGCGGGCTTCTCGCGCGCGCATGCCGGAATCATGCGAACCCCCGTGCTCGCTCACTGGGAGGGGGGGGTCCCTGTCTCGCGAAACAGTTGGAGCCGCTCGCACGCGTCGGCCGCGCGCGCGCGTTGGAATTTGTCAAAAACGCCATCATCGACGCGCGGGCATCGCCATCGCCATCGGCGCGGCCGGCGTCGGTGACGTCCTTGGCCTGGCCGTCGCCGACGTCGCCGCGATACCGCGCGGCCGCCCGAGCCAACTACCCGGGCTGCCGCGCCCGCGCGCCAGCGCGGCCCGTTAGACGCGCTGGGGGGGCACCCGTCGATCAGCGCCGCCGCGGCCGCGCTGGGCGCGCCAATCATGTTGGGCGCACCGCGAGCGAGCTTGCGCGCGCGAGCGCTGCCGAGGGGATGCGCGAGCCAGCGCCGAGCTGTCATCGCGCTCGCCGCCGCGCGGGTTTCGCAAATCCAGTTGCGGGCGGGGCAGCGGAGCGACTCGGGCACGGCCGGGGCGAGGAAAAGTCAGCCCTGGAGCATCCAGGGATTCGCTGGAGCGGCCCGGGGCACTCCGAAATGGCCGCGGCGCCCGAGGCATCTCCCATAGACGCGGGAGATCGCAGATTCTTCAGTTATCATCACCCGATTCAATTCTCGCTTTGGCTGCGCCTCAATGCCTGCGCAAACGTGGAGTTTTCCCCGCTCAAACTTCTAATTTATGTGCAGCTCATAGAGTGCGCCGCGTCTAATGTCCTTGCTCATGAGAGCATGGGTTAAGTGCATGGATTCCACCCCCCGCGGGGCGGGTTTGTCGCTCCCCCCCCCGCCCTGGGATGCTGCCGAGTGCGCTCGGCTTTGCCCCGTCGTGCATTCTGCGCATGAACTCACGTCGCCCAAAGGGCGCCCCCCGTCGCCCCCCCCCCTCCCGCGCCCTCATCCTCGGTGAATAATCGCATGCGCCGCGCCCGCTCATCACAAAATATCCGCTTGCAAATGACTTGCCGCAACCAGCGCGACACAGTTCACGCGCGCGCGCCGTCGCGGGCGCGCGCGTCGGACTCCTCCCAGGAGGGCGCGGTTCCAGGAGGTCGTGTGTGCGTGTTGTGTGTGTGTGTGTGAATGTGTGTGTGTGTGTTGTGTGTGTTGTGTGTGTGTGTTGTGTGTTGTGTGTGTGTTGTGTGTTGTTGTGTTGTGTAGTGTAGTGTTGTTGCGTTGTGTAGTGTAGTGTTGTGCTGTGTGTTGTTGTGTTGTGTTGTGTTGTGTTGTGTTGTGTTGTGTTGTGTTGTGTTGTGTTGTGGTGTGGTGTGGTGTGGCGTGGTGCGGTGCGGTGTGGTGTGGTGTGGTGTGGTGTGGTGTGGTGTGGTGTGGTGTGTGTGTGCGTGTGTTTCTCCTGCGGCCAACGGAATGCAGCCCCCCCCCCCAAGAAAATCGCGCGCCCTTGAACATTCTGCTGACAGCCGCAGGCGCATCAACGTTGTAGCCGAGCGAAACCGAGTGCGCCTCTCGCGCGCAGAACCCCAAACCGCCCGGTCGCCCTCGCGCGCCTGCGGGGGGGGGACCGCGCCGCAAATGAACCGTTGCGGATCTGCGGCGGGGGGGCGACGGGGCGGGCGCGAGCGGCGTCCGGCGGGCCGTTTTAGTCGGCGCGCGAAGCGCATGTGATGGCGGGGCGCCGAGTTTGGCTCGGAGGGCCCGGCAGCTCGCTCGCAACATAATGACATTCATGGGCAGGGAACATCGCGCGCAAGAGGTGGCGAGGGTTCGAGGGCAATTCGAATGCCAGGAAAACGCGCGCTTGCTACGTGGGCCCCGCAAGGAGCTTCGCTCGCGGCCTCGGCGGTTGCGCTCGGGAGCGGGGCCGCGTTAATTCCGGCAAACCACCCGCGCGGACGGTGGCCCATAAGGAGAACCGCCAGCAGCCGCAGTGCATCGCTCGTGGCCATCGTCGCCACGCGTCGACGCGGTCGTCGTTCGCCGTCGCTCGTCGCTCGCTGGCGTTAACCGTCGTCGTCGTCACTTGCCCTCGCGGACTTTCGGTCTCGCGCGTAGCTCGTCGCCATCGCGCGTCGCCGCGCCGCCGGAGGCGTGGCCGTCGCAGCCCGCCGTCGCCCGTCATTCCTCGGCGTGCCCCGTCGTCGCGGCTTCTCTAGTCGTCGTCGTCATTATCCAACGTCGCCGTCGCCGGCATTCGCCGCCTCTCGCCCCGTCGTCGCCGCCGTCGTCGTCACCGCGCAATTTCCGGCGCATTCCCTGCGCGCATTGCGACTCATTGGGAAGTCAGCGCGCTGCTGCGCGCCCGCCGCGCCCGCGGGGCTCCGCGGACCAACCTCTCTCGGGAGCAAGATTACGACACCCACCCCGCAACACAGACGTCCCGATACTTGAAATATTTGTGATGCGAAGGTTGCCGCGGGGCTCCAGGGTGCCGAGCGCGGGGGGTCGCTGGCAATTTCTACGGCTTGCTTCCGACACCTTGCGGAGGCCGCCTCCGCGGGGGCCCATCATTCCCGCCCGTTGCGCGCCGCCATAATGCCACTTCCCTCAACGAAAATGCTCCTGCCAGTCAGCACG